TCACCGCGCATGGCTGCCAGGATGCGGGGTGATTACTCGCCTATTATGCGAGCGTTACGTTACCGCTGAGGGGTGGGAGGGGAGCGCTGACTCACCCGCCGCGTCACTGCTGGTGTGGGGGGGGCTCGGCTTTGCGCAACATGTCACAATATATATATATTACCTGTTTATTTTTATTTATTAATGTTTGCATCCCCAGTGTTTGGAAGTTAATGTTTATAATAACAGATGGTATGGTCCTTGCTAAACATTGGTGATGAAATTAATGTTTCTTAATGTTCTCTTCTAGTTTGCTACAATTCGTTTCATACTTATGGTGACAGACTTGTTACTGGTGTTTTGGTAATGCCATTTCTTTATTAATTAGGACTGTTATGGTATATTAGGCAACACTGAGATTTATTTTGAAAGGTGTGAGGCCATAACATGGCTCTTCTTTATTAAAATGAAGCTGGATATGTTTGTGTAGCAAATTAATTTTTCAAATTGTAGTACAAATTATACTGTATTACAACAATATCCCTTCACTTTTGGTTGGCATTGCAGGTGATGGCAGTGCATTGTATGGACAGTCTTGTTTTGAGACTAGGATGGGAAAAGCAATTTGTTTATGTTGGTGCCTCTCTGTTCTTTTGGTGGTGACATCTGGTGAACAGTTACTACATTCTGTGGCTGGGGAGGTGGGCCGTGGTAACTACACTTACTACAGCTTAATGTATGAAGGCCCCATCGTACTGTCCCTTTATTCAGAGTAAGTTGATCTAACTGCATAAAATTAACCTTGTACAGAAATGGAGAAACTCTTTGTATAGTGAAAGTGCAGTAGCCATTTGGCTATTCATGAGAATCACATGGTGCCAAGTTCAAGGTCGATTTGCATGTTAATATTAATACTAGAATAACTGAACAAATTATGTTCAGACTATTATCAAAAGATTCTCTACACATTGTGACAAGTTACACCAGCTTTGTTCTTGTGTGTCATTTTGTTCTTTTATGTTCACAGTTTTGCAGAATTTAAAAGCAGTGTGTCACAACTAGTACATTTGGTACAATAATGCTTTTCATTGTCTCATATTGATAGGTTGGGTGATGCTGACTTGTATGTGTCACAGACAGTGACCAAACCGACATTTGAACCAGAAACATACTGTCTTCAGTCTTCTACCTGTGGCCTTGATGTTGTACACATACCTCGGAGGTGAGATTTATAACTTGATTTGTATAATATTCTGGTGTATTGACTCTATGGAGGAACTGTTGAGCCACAGAGGCCTCGGGGCATGCGCCACCGTGAGAGTTGCGGATTGTATCACCACGTTGCTAGGTGACAACTCTGTGAATGCTTCGATTGTGCAACAGGAAGTGCGAGTGACGTCACATACCCCACTCATCCCGTAACTATGCAAAACTTGGTAAACACCCCTCCCCACTAGGCTGTGACATCACGCAACAAGGGAGGCCGTGCAGCGACTGTTGCTTGGCACGCGGTAAACACAATGTCACGCAACAGTGGTATCTGTCACGTAACTGTTTTCTGTGTTCTCAGTGCAGACGCTACATAACGAGGAGTATTCATCAGTGTAGAACCAGAGAGAGTTACTAGTATTGAGTATGAGCATTCAGTATGAATTGAAGTCCAGCAGCTACGAGTTGTTATTGAGTTGTGTTGAGTGATTGGAAGTAACTACAGCAGGAGAAGTAATTGTGATACTGCAGATGGCAGTAATTGTGAAATTGTGTAAGTGTAAGAGTGAGTGTGCAATAAATTTGCTAGATCGAGACTGGCATGAAGTTCTTTGTCGCATGACAAACACCCAATGCATGACAATTTGGTGTCAGAAGTGTCTATGAACTTAAACATGCCACAAATAGAACAAATTATTGTGCATCGAGTATTACACTGCCACAAAATGGAGTCACAGCAGATGATGGAACTCCTGCTGAAGGAAATCAAAGCCGGCCAAGAAAAAGCAGACCCCATGTGAGAGGAAATTAGAACCAACGAAGAAAAGGCATAGACCAATAGGAAGGCGGACAGAGAAGAAATGCTGGCCAACATGAAATCTGGCCAGGAACAGCTATAAGAGAATGTAAAGAGGATAATCAAAGAAGTGTTGCTGATTACCCGAAAAAAGATGATGGCCTGCCAAGAAATGCAGGCATGTCCGAAAGAGAAGAAGCTGACCTCAGTGCACATGAAACCTGAGGTGGCCCAGGAAGAAGAGATACCTACACAAGACGCCGCAATGATACCAGTTGGAGAACCGAAGAAGAAACTGCATAGGGACCGAAAACTGGCCACAGAGCACCTCCACCAGGAACCGAAGGATACAACATGGGGAAAGTGTGGATCCTAGAAGAGATTGGCTGTCGCCCGCAGAGGGATGACACGCCTTGCAAAAGTGGCACGGCAGAAGGAAAAATTTGTTGGGAGGAACCGCACCAGGGCCATGGTTGAGTGAGCAGCCCAGAGTGTAAGGACACTCGTGAAGAAATTATGGACACCATGGAGGAAAAAGAAGAACAAAGGACCAAGGCGGCCAGTGGCTGCTGTACATGAGAAAGAAGAAGGAAACCGTGATCAACATCAGAGGATGGAGCTAGGGACAGCTATCACCTCGGAGGAAGAAGAGGACAACCACGTAAATCTGTAAGGGGAGCCTAAGAGAGCGAACACTTCTGGGAAGCAGAACACTCAAGAAAATCTTATATGAGAACTCTTGTTCGAAAATCACGAAATAAATGCCCAAGGTTTCCAGCAGATTACAGAAAAACATCAAAAACTGGACACTGTGGAGGGGTCAACCCCCTCCAAAGTGGAAAAGGAAACAACGGATAAAGGAGGAGCCGGCTATCACATAACTGTTTTCTGTGTTGTCAGTGCGGAAGCTACATAACGAGGAGTATTTGTCAGTATAGAACCAGAGAGAGTTACTAGTATTGAGTATGAGTATTCAGTATGAATTGAAGTCCAGCAGCTATGAGTTGTTATTGGGTTGTGTTGAAATGTTGAAAGAATGGAGTGACTACAGCAGGAGAAGTAATTGTGATACTGCAGATGGCAGTAATTGTGAAATTGTGAATTGTGTAAGTGTAAGAGTGAGTGTGCAATAAATTGCTAGATCCAGACCGGTGTGAAGTTCTTTGTCTTGTGACATGCACCCAACACATGACAATATAGAGACCTTAGTGTTGTTCAGTAACATGTGTAACTGAATTGTCTGCACTGGACGAGTTTCTGTCATATGCAATACATATAAGCTTAATGAGTCCGAGCCACTGCTTGAAGTCATGAACACATTCTCTGACAACCATGTTTGCTTAGAATTTTGTTTAATGAGTTGCATGCCATTACCAGTCCACATCAGGTGATGTTCTAGTATATCCATTGTCATTATTTGACTTCATGCAGTTGAGTCCAACTTCATTAGCCAATAGTTGCTCACTCAGTCTATGAATTCCTTACTGTTTTGTGGAGAGGGTCTACTGGCATCCTCTATCTTCGTTTGAAGTTATATCCTTGGCAGTATTTCCTCAAAAACATCATAGGATGAGAGACCGAGTTTCACTGCAATAATAACACAATCACTGCCAAAATTGACTTGTCATTTCATTGGCAAGGTTTTAGTGTTACCATCATAGATCAAAGTTGATGTTGCGTGTGTCTCCATTTGATTTAAGTAGGGTAGCGTGACATCCTATGATCTGGGAAAATAGGTTCATGTATAGGTAATTTGGAACACCAGGGATTACTAACTGCCTGATATAATTTTCTTTCTTTTTATTTTTCCTTATAATATTTATGGCACATTTCTCTTCAGTCTGTGTGATAATGAGGCAGCCCACATGTGGGAGTATGTTGTTGTATGAGGTCATATATGATCCGTGGTGCCCTGTATCATGTTTGTATTTGTGAGTTCTACAGGCATAAAGTCATGGTAGTGAAAAGAGGAAGACATTTGTAGAAATTGCAAGTAACAGTGGCTCTGATATTGATATTACAAATAAAGTCCGTAAAAGTGATCATTAGAAGAGAATGAAACAATCACCAGATTCAGGTCTGTCAGAATTTTCTGAAGGCAGTCATCATTGCTCCTTACCCTTCACATTCTGAGACAGCCACTACCTGATTGCAAATTTCTTATAATCCTGACTTTATGCACTTAATCAACAGAAACGGTGTTCATACTCAAAAGCAAATTGCAGAAGTGTTTGGAAACTAAGTACAGATACAGGTACTGAGCAATGGTGGTGGACAATAAAAATTACAGTATCATTTTGCCAGGACAATTAACTACAGCACAGTTCTACTTACAAGCCTGCATGAACAAGAACATCAGAGATTATAGAATTTTTTGTTGGATTCTTGTTTATGGTCTGCTTTACAACATTATAAGTATTTATGTAGNGAATGATTATTCCTAGAAACAGAAACATCTCGGATTCGGTCACGTCAGGCCGCGGAGAAGGTCCGTCTTGACGTCTCTCTATGTGCTGGTGGTAGTATCTGTTCGTCTCTTCCACCAGCAGATGGATAATCTCTGCGAAATACAGCATGAAAACGCTGAAAGGGGTGGAATCCTTATTTACATGTGGAGCTTCATGGGTTTTTAACCCCACAGCTCCACCTGTATAAGTATTCACACTCCTCGTGCGACGCTGGTGTGGCGGTCCCCAGGTTGCCGACGAAGATGATTGGTCTTCATCGATATCACTTCCTGATTCGCTACCTTCAACGTCACTCTCAGAATTGTCAGTACCACAATCTGAATCGGTGTCATTTATTAGCTGAAATATGTCGGAATCTTCGAGATGAGACGATGCCATGATCGAACTAATTTGATAGCTAGACAGAACACTTCCAGTTGAGAACCAAGTACTCAGTGTAATGAAACTGTATAAAGGAATGTAATGCAGCCCGAACTCAATAACACTACGCTGAATTTGTATCATTCACATTCCACAAGAATTACGTCATGGTACGATCACACTTTGAAATTACGCTGTACTGAACGCTTCCAGCCACGAAGCTATTACGGTGTGTGTTGATACAGCAACACGATTTCATAAAACAAAAAGAAGGCTTCAACTCTACAAGTACAGTACACGTATTGTTCAGAAGAACTCTATATGCAACAACACGTGACTTTATATCACTCTTCCACTGTCCATATTCTAGTAGTAGCCAAAGATAAGCTCTAGACTCAACATCCGGTGTTACCGAGAGTTGCACAAGTGTCGTGATCAGCAACATCCAAACAGGGGTGTCCAGAACGTATGAATTCTTGCACAGAAACAAGAAACTGCGAAAATTCTACTTTGGTGTCAGTGCAAAAATTTTAACATGTTTTATACAATCTGTAAATTACAATATCAGATTCTATATTCTTTCGAGAAAAAAACAGCGTTTATTTCGTTCGATTATCACAGAAATAGCAGAAATAGGAGCAAAATTAGTAAGTGACTACAATTTTAACGAATCTCAAATAGCGGCCCTTTAAAGAAATCCGTACCGCTAACACAACCTAAGTTTAAAAGGCCGTAGGATAAAGGTTAATTGCAGTGTGATTGGTGAATAATGAATTGGCAAGAATTTGATGTATTATGTATCAAATCAATGAGTGTTATTGATGAAGTGACAGGAGGTTGGAGAAAACTGCATAATGAGGAGCTTCATAACTTGTACTCTTCTCGAAGTGTAATTAGAATGATCAAGTCAAGGAGGATAAGGTGGGCAGGGCATGTAGCACGAATGGGAGAGAAGAAGAATGTGTATAGGATATTGGTGGGAAAGCCAGAAGGAAAGAGACCACTGGGAAGACCAAGGCATAGGTGGGTGGACAATATTAAAATGGATATTAGAGTGATAGGATGGGATGGTATGGATTGGATTGATCTGTCTCAGGATAGGGACTAATGGAGGGCTCTTGTGAACATGGTAATGAACCTTCAGGTTCCATAAAATAGTGGGATATTCTTGAGTAGCTGCAAATTTGGTACATCCTCAAGAAGGGCTCAGCTTCATAAGTAAGTAAGTAAGTAAAGCTCAGTACTTTTCTTGGACTTCAGTATATTGTTAACCTCATTTTCATAATTGGCATTGTTTTTAATGGGTGTGAAATGTGGTCCCTTACATTGAGGGAAGGGTATAAATTACAAATGTCTACAAATAAATGTCTGAGGAAGATATATTTCATAAGTGGTCATGCTTAAATGTTGACATATTTTTAGAAAATTACATATGACTTTAATGTAGTTTGTCTTGCTGCTGTTACAGTTTCTCGCGTCCAGTAGGAATTGGTGTATATGGTCACATTTCACACGAAGTCAGTGTATACTTGCTGGAAGTTTTATACAGAGAAGAAGATGAAACTGACAACTTTGATCCATACACTGCAGAACTGAACCAGAATGAACAGCAGGAGGAGACAACTAGCAATGAGGAAAGACAGCAGCCAGATGAGCAGTACAAAGCCAAGGAGAGGGGTTCAGCTTTGAATGTGAGTGGGAGCAATTTCCTAGTGTATTCCCTATAAGTATATATTTTTTCCTTTTTTATTTTTGTTCATATAGAACTTTGGTTGCATTATAGTCTGTAAATTGTTTTAAGGTAAGAGAAGTAGCGATGATGTTTGTTTGTTATTGGTACATGTTTTTTTCATCCATTTTTTATTGGGTATCAGAATAGTCTGGTGAAAGGGAAGTAATTTCATTCCCAAGCTTTATATTGATACCTTTTACACATTTATTACTTCAGCAGTTGTGTATATATTTGCCCTTGGATATGTGTAAACAAGAGTGATTATCAATGCAGTTCCTGTATAAATTGTGTAAATTTATACTTTTTTTCTTTTATAACACATTTTGGCCATTTATGACCATCATCAGGTCAATCATTTTACATTCACAGTATGCTTTTTCTGCTGCTTTTCCCCTACCTTGGCCAGTGTTTGCAATTAAGGGGAAGATCATATGTGTTATTTACAGTATTAGCGACAGTTGGTGGTGATGGTGGTGGTGGTGACAGTTGGCTCATAGATGGCGGCAAGGTTGTCAGCCCTGTGCACCAGCTGCACTTTACTCTCAAGAACATTCCAAGAATATTCTGGTGCTCATTTCTGTTAGAGGCTGAGTCAACCCCAGGGCCATATTGCGGCTGGAAGGGTTAGGTCAATTGAAAAAAAATCCAATGACCACATCAGGACATGAACCTGCGACCTTCGGGCTTGTAGCATAGTGCCTCAACCAACTATGCCACCATGTGCCCTCCTTATATAGTTAATATGCAAACATAAAATATATTACTTTAAATTAATTTTAATTTTAAATTAATTTTTTCTTGTGGTGGGGTGAGACTGAGTCCACTTGGTACATGGGCCACTAATTGGCCTTTTGTACCAATCCCAGATTATAAATGTTGGTGAATGTACAGCAGTTCCTGGAATGAGAATTGTCATTGGAAACGGAAGTACTTTGAGAGAACCTGTCCCAGTGCCACTTTGACCACCACAAATCCCACATAACCTGACCTGTACTCAAACTCGAGCCCTTCGCGGTGGGAAGCCGGCAACTAACCGCCTGAGCTATGGCATCACCTCTTAAATTAAGTTAAAATAGAATAAAAATAAGATTGGTTTATTACTAATTAAATTTTCTCATTTTGTAGTTATTAAAATGTTGTTGGTATATTTGTGTCATGTATAAGTGGCCTGTTTTCATCTAAAAGTATAATCTTGTATGTAACTGCATTTACTGCCACCACCACCACCACTTCTTTTTAAGTTATTGCAATTAAATCAGTAGAACAAGGTCTTCACTTCTATGATCACTTGCTGGTTTTGATACATGTGCACTATTTTTGTGTGTGTTCGTTTTCTTATGTAGTAAAACTTTGCGAATGGTGTTTTTCCTGGTGAGTGAATGTGTGGGAAAAGGAAAAAGTATAAATTTATTCAGTTTATATTGGAATTGTGTTGATGGGACTTACAATAAATAGTTCATTCACAATATGTTGCTGAAATACATTACTAAGAGGGTGATTGTGTATTATTTATTGAGAAGAGTTTGGTATTTCCCTCTTTGTACAAATGTTTGTGTTCCATAAACTTTTTTTTAATATTGTGGTAACATATTGAAGATTTTTTTTTTTTGTTAAAAATGACTAAATTAAAATTATATTATCATGTGTGACTAGACATTGGGTTTGGTCTGAGAATTGTAGTTATTGAATTCTTATGACTCGGAACTTAATAACACTTGCAAATCTCGACACTACAAATTACTACAGCACATATTACATAAGTCTTCTCAGTCTGTTATGTTTTCACTAGTCATTTCTTGGTATTGGCTTCTAGCAGTTGAGATTCCTCTGTTTCCATCTCACTGCTATCCACCAACAATGAGTTCTGACTCCTGACTCATGTCAGCTCATGGCTCATTACTGACTTTGTCCTGTTGGTCCTGATTTCCTGATTATGTAGCTTTTCACAAACAACATAGAAAATCACCGTGCCATACAGTTCCACTCTGGTTGTATGTGGGTTTGTTGCTTTGGAAACATGTTTACAGAGCTGTTGCCTAGCAGTGTACATCTCCTCTGGCTCCACTATTTCGGCTTTTAGGCATTGCGTCACAATATGTAACAAGCCCTAATTCCAGTATCAGGGTAAAATAAATCCTTAGCTTCAGCTCCCTAGTCCACTGTAATAAAACTAAAATTACTTTCAGAATGATACTTACAAGAAGTCATGGAATTTAAGATTTTAGCATTGGTTGTATTGCATGTAGCTTTGCAGGTGCTTTAGAACTGTGTGACTACTGTACAAAATGGCTGCAACTTTGGATACAGTCACCATTACAGTAGCGTTTCTATTTTCCTGTCTGTTATTGCAACTGCTGCATGGCATTGCATGCTTCCACTGCAGCATCTGCTCTTCGGACCATCAGCCGGTATCCATTGTATTATGATAAGCACATTTAGATTTCATTCCATAATGGCTGATACATGTTTACATGTGATGAGGAAGTGAAACATTGGTATATCATGTAGAATGACACACACAGTGATCCAGTATTTGATCTGTTAATAAAATAGTTATTTCAATTACATTATTAGAAACTAACATACAAAAAGAAAGACCATTGCATGAAGATTCGTCCTCTATGAATGAGGTGTTCAGTATGGCCACAATTATGTCTGGCAATTTCTTCAACACAAAACTGTGATGTGGTTGATTACTTGATGGCGCATATCCTCAGTTACCTTCTTACAGGCCTGATTGATTAGCGCTGCCAGATTTTCTGAGAAGTAGGGGGCCTGGAATGGGGTCAACTCAGCCTCATGAGGATAATTGAGAATCTTCTTGAATGGAAAAGTAGCGGCTTCGGTCTAGACCATGGGGGTGTATTGCGCTGGCCACGTGACACCCTTTATCCGCTTAAGTTGGCACTAACTTTGCCTCGTTGGTATAGTTCGCTTGCAGACTCAATTTTGTTGTTTGTTTTGTCTTCTAATAAAGAGTAGACTTCATTCTGCATACCAGATTTTGAAACAGCCACCTTTGTATACAGAGTTTTTTAAGTTCTGGTACAGTTACTTTTATGTATTTACAGTGCCCCCCACGAGTGATTATTGGGAAATTTGTGCCACTGCCTTTTAAAGAGAACTGTAGATGATAACTATGTCTAATGTGATGCAGTAGTGACTGTTGAGAAACAGTTGTCGGCTTGACAGAGGTCAGATCAGAGATTTATCAATGTAATGCTTCACACTGGATGCACATTTCATCTTATGAGAGATGCCTTTGTTTGATATTCTTAGAAGGCATTGATAATATAATCTTCAGACTTGACACTGCTTGCTAGACACATTGCTAGAATAGCTCAGTACAATAAGAAACTATTTTTAAATTCATCACAAAAAATACTGTATACTGCCATTGGTTTTGTTTTGTGATTTGGTAAAAATCATTGCATAAATATTGTCACATGTAGGATGGTACGCACAACAAAAATGACGGGTTTTAGTTCAGATGATAGGATTTATTGGCACCTTGGTTACAACCTCCCTTAATTACACTTAAATTACAGCACTATCTCTGATTTACACACACTTCATAGTTCACTGCACCACAACAATCATAAAGTCTTCTAATTCACACACAAATTCTTCACAGGCCGACCTCTTGTACTCTTCTGTACTCCTTGTTCCAATTCACTCTCGGCTTATGACTGAATTTGCTACAGTCAGAATCAGTGTTCCTTTATGACTGGCAGTTTGCCTCCAATCAGTTTGTCTTTGTGTCAGGCCCCTTGAGGCCCATGACTAGAGATTCTTTTTCCCAACTGAACTCTTGCAGTAATAGTCCTTATGTATGATCATCTCTGACGCTGAAATCACTTCTCTTATAAGCGTTCGGCACAGACCACACAGAAAATAAGTCATGTGATAGTACAGTTGCAGTGTGACGTCATTGCCTCTGCGTGGAAGTCTGTTTACTGAGCCGTTGCCTAGAAGTGGGTTGCATAACCTTTTCGTTCCATTGTCATGAGAGTGTATCACGTGTGTTTACCAGTCTATTACCTAGCAATGCTCTGACCATTCATGTTGCATTCCTTCTGAAATTTCTGCACATGGACCTCGGTCCCTTATGCCATTGTTGCATTCTGGGCCCTTCTACTCTCCCTGTCCTTTCTTCGTTTCTACACTACAGCACTCATAAAGTCTCCTAATTCATACTCAGATTCTTCACAGGCTGACCTCCTGTATTCTTCTGTACTCCTGGTTACGGTTCGCTCTCTCATGTTGCTACTGAATATACTACCCTGAATTCACTTCTCTTATAAACCTTTGCAATGATCTACGCAAAAAACAAGTTATATGATAGATAGTACTGTTGCAGTGTGACATCCCAGCAAAGCTCTGGCCATCTACATTACAATATTATCATCACACTGTTCTTTAATTTTATGAATTTACGTGGGTTATGTATGTTAGAATTTTATGTATATCTCCATATTCCACTTGATGATTTTCATTTAGGTTCATTCAACATATAGGAAGCAATATCTTTTTGTTCATGAGTAACCAGAGTTTATCTGAAAAGTTTTAGTGTGTTTTACAGTTAGATTAATATTGGAGTTAAGTTTGGAATATTACATACATACACATATTGTGTGTCTGTCATTTTACCCCATTTCTTCTTCCTACAGTAGTTTGATTTATTGACAAATACTGCATCGTGTTATGTATATTTTACATATTTTTAGAATGTGTTGGACTTGGAGTCTTAGAACAGTGCTGATTACCATACCTGAAATTCTGACATTTTTATGCTTGGTTTATTAACAGTGCTTTGAATAGTTCAGATTGTAGAGTGTAAAATGATAGGATGATTAGTAAATAATGAATTGGAAAGGAAATGAAAGATATTGGTCCTGACGTGGCTTACCTTGCTGTTCTGGCATTTGCCTGGGGGAACTGTCAAAAATACAAGGACCT